AGCAACACTGCAAAGAAATGGCATGTTGCTGTTGATGGGATATGTTCTCCAAGCTTCCTAGTGGACGAGACCAGTCTAGCAGACATCACCAGCTCACCTGAGAGCAAGGTGACTGGGGTAGATTCTTCACCAGGCTCCTAGGTCTTCTATTACTGCCTGTCCTCTGAGAACAGAGCCAGAAATATGTTCCTAGCATGGAGGAGTGGAACCAAGTAAAGACAGTTGGGCATTACTATGAATTCAGATCTTTTTGTACACATTCCTAGAGCAGTAGTCTGTAATCAAGGTGCAAAGAACACTTTGCTCCAGACAGCTCCTGGGGTTTTAGCTGCCTCCCTGTCCCCGCCACTCACTAGACATCGCAGCTCTCTCACTGCCCCAGCTGTGATGACCAAAAGTGCTTCCAGCTCTCTCCATCAGGGGCATGGAGATAGGATACTCCAAGTGCCTCTAACTTTCTGTTTATCCCTCCTAACTTAATACCTGACAGGGTGGAGGATTGGAGGGGCTGGGAGACAAGATTCAGACTCATTGTCATAAATCTGCTGAAGTCTTTTGAAAATGTTTTACTCTAGAGAATAATGACACTGACAATGGCACAAAAGACAAGTCCTTTTATAACAGGTTCGGCAGAAGCCCAGCTCTGAACGGTACAGGGAGTAAGTCCTGCTTCCTCAGGACCAATGTCCAGGACTGGGTTCTTGAACTCATGCAATTTCAGAATTAGGAAAGACCTTACAGATGAGCCAGGTCTAAATAATGACGTCACCCATGAACTATCTGATCTCTTCCCAATTCAAAAGTATTACGGATGGCCCTCCCTGGTGGCGCAGCGGGTTAAAGCACAGCACTGAGAATCTAAAGCCGCTTCCGCATGAGTTCGATTCCCGCCTGCCCCGGAGGAGACCCCATGGCACGGCAGACCTCTCCTGGCCCATCCGCTGCTCCCCTCAGCAGTGTACTTCGTCGATCTGCCTGTTCTGTTCCCCACTCTGTCTCTGGTGAAGCCTCTCACTGCCCCTGAGCCTCTGGCCTGAACCCCAGTTCTGTATGTACAAATAAATAAATCTTTAAAAAAAAAAAAGTATTACGGATGTTAGTCACTAGGACTAGAGTTGCGTCACATGGAAAAGAATAATGAAGAAGGGCTACCTCTGCCCTGGCACCATCTGGGCTTTGTAGAGAACACCCAACTTACGGGTCTGTAATAATTTCAAACAAACAAAACAATTGAGAGTGGGGTTCACCCCCATATTGGATGTGGGTGTGAGGAGCTGGGGTGCACAGCATAAGCCAAGCATTGCTGTTAAGGCCTACAGCTGACTGTCATCACAATGCTTTTTGCAAAAATATTCAGAATTCTGTGGCCTGAGCAGAAAAATCGTGCCATCTACTTACTGGTTTTATAACCATCAGAATAATCTCCTCCTAAACAAAAGGCCGAATGTGGCTGCAGGATGGGAGTTGGAGGAAGGGAAATAGGAGGTTTCTAGGTGAATGTCACTGTCCTTTTAGGACTGCAATGGGGAAAGGTAACTGCAGGGAAAAGATCCATATTTGGGTTTGATATTTTCCTATGGGGCTCCCTCCCCAACTCTCACCTCCCCACACTAGCCCTCTTCCCATCTCCCTTTCACCTCTCTTGGCAGGGGGGTGCAGGTGGGGGTAGCTGATCTCAGGAAGAGAATTTGGCAGAAATACTTGCCCTCAGCTCACACCTCCCTGCTCCCGCCCATCTATCCGCACTGAAAGTCCATTTGGGCAAACTCATCAGCACAGGCTTTTCCCTTTGGGGAACCTACAGTCAACCTGGGTGTGTGTGTGTGTGTGCCAATGGTGACACAGAGCCAGAGCCAGTGTCGCCAGAACCAACCCTTTGGTCACCCATATAAGGTTCCTATCCTTCATTCAGCTGCTCAGCACTAACGCTGACATTCTGAAATTCCCTTTGTCCTCTCCTCTGTGTCAATTGGTTTTGAACTCAGAAGTGTTCAAAGGCAAAGGTTGTTACTAGCTCCATTAAGACACCCAGGGCAGTAAGATTGGGGTTAGAATGGCTTCCACAGCGCTGGTGAGAGCACCAGTCATTGACAGTCATTCCACAATTGCATGATCAAAGCCCAGTCAAACTCCACTCCCTGCTAAGCTGCTGGAGGCCTGGGGGTGGGGTTGGGGGGGTGGGAACGTGCCTGGGGGATGCAGGCAAGTGCCCGCACTGGCTCTGACATCCACTCCTGGTGAGTCATTTCCTCCTTCTGGAGGAAGGTTTCTCATCTGTGGAAGACTTGGAGGTGGTGATGATAAAACCAGGAATTCTCAGTTTTGTATGTGTTTGTTTGTTGTTAAATACATTCCTGATGAGAGAAGGATCCCTGTGAAAACACTGTGTAGGGGAGAGTAGCTGGATGTGTGTTCTTCAGGTAGCCATTCAGCAGCCCTGTGTTCTGTGTGTTGCTTTTAGAGCGAGACAGCAGAGTCTATAGAGGTCCCGAAGGAATTTAATTTAATGAAATGATAGAAACAAGTGCAATTAGAATATAATTGTGTATATGTAAATATGCTTAGGGGAGCTTTGATAGAGTTTATGGTTGCTACGTTCACCCAGAATTTTGGCCTACGTTATTAATTTGCACTACTATGAAGAAAGGGTTTGTTAATCAAAGATAAACTATCCCAATGATTTTGAATTAGTGAACTCCAAATTGTGGCAGGATAATGAGGTGGTGCTGTGCTCACACACCACTCAGCTAAGGGAGAGCTCTCTGGCTGGCCACATAGGAGGTCTCCTTATTGAAAGATTTATTTTTAATTTTGAACAGCTTCCCAGCATTACCCTTCATGAAAATTAAAATAAGAAGCTGGAATTTTGTCCTATTCAGCAAACCTCTTGGCAGGGCTGCTCCCGAAGGCAGAGAAAACCTCATGTTTAGAGGAATTCCCTCTCCACCTTTCTTCTAGATCTGCAAGAATTACACTGATACTTTTAATAAAATGATGACATCCCCACCTCCCTCTCCATAGTGTTTTTTTTTTGCACATTCTCTTCACTCGAGTGACTGGCCTGTCTTCTTTGCATGCCCTGTGCCTTCTAACCTAGTAAGGATTGACCTAACCCCTTGGCTCACATCCTTAAGGATATAGAGAGACATGGGCATCATTCTCTCTGCAAATCGCTGGGAGCCAAACTCCCAGAGGAGGATGACTTCACCTTGCCAGGCTGCGGCCTCCATGCAGTTAAGAACACAAAGTAGCCACATTTGAAGAATAACTGAAAATTACATCAGGCCAAACATTTGGCTGACAGTCTCACCATCCAGGATCCCCAGAGAGTACAGAGATCTGTCCAGGCCCTGCTGTTCACCCTCATTCAGGGACACCAGGTTGCGCCAGTGGGTCCCCGGGATCTGTGTGCATTCAATCAGAGACTTACACTGCATTCTTGCAGAGTGAGCTAAAAAAAGCTGGCAATCACAGATTACAGTTAATACTATCAAAACCTATGAAATCATGTTCATTTTTGTCAAAAATGAACAACCAATCACCACCCATGGCGTACACAACCAGAAAGTACAGAATTACAAGACACAAGAAGGAATAAATGATCTGTTTACAGCACAGATTTTAAAAGATGGGCCACATTTGTGTGACTGAAGCTACATTCTGGTAAGACTTGCCTTTCTAGACCCAGTTCAAGATGTTTTAATTTTTTAATTTATTCTCTAAAGTACAGTGGAAAGTGAAGGAAAAAAAAAACAAACTATTGAGCTCTGCATTGGGACACTGGAATACTTTTCACTGTAGGATCAATTAGTACAGATATATTTTTCTTAACTATTGAGTGCACTTACTGAAACATTTATTTAAGAGAAAAGTGCAGGAAGAGGTGATAGGATTGCTGGCAACTTATAATTCTTTTCCAGTGAAGTTTATTGTTCTTAAGTGCCTCACAAAAGAATCAACTACAGTGCTTTTTTTTTTTTTCCTGCTCCTCTTTAACTCTCCAGAAATAAATAAGAGGGAGCCTGCAATGTGAAAATTGTGACAAAAATCCAGGATTGAAAATCAGCAGGAGTAAGCGTGGGAGCTTCCTGCAGAGGAACAGGATTGACTGGGTCAGATCCAGAAACAGAGCTCGAAAAGCCAGACACTACCAACCCATAATCTGCATTTTATTATTATTTTTTAATTTAGTTATTGTTATTGAAGTACCATTGTTCCACATCCTTGCCAGTGTTTTGACAGTAAAAGCAGATAGTCAAGATTTCCTAACAATTATGCATAAACTCAGCAGAAACACTTCTTGAACAGAAAATGTTTTCCTAGCTTGCATGAGAAGAGGAAAATTGTATAGGAAATGAGGCAAATTAGCTCTCTCTCCCACGTGTCAATTATGGATTCAATTATGAAAGTGGTTGCCAAACTACGTGTTTAGAGGAAAACTGTGTCAACTATATAGATTACAGCTGTCCACGGGAGCCAACCATCATTCACATGGTGACGACATAGATCCACGTCAATTACTTTCTAAATTTTAAAATAAACAGCTGTTAATACTTCTGTTGGCAAAAAGTAGCTAAGACCAGTACAGACCTCTGTATCAGTAAAGATCAATTTCATTATCCTAAATGATCTGTAAATGTGCAAATGTCCCACAACGTGAACACCTTGTGGTAAACGGTGACAGGGATCTGCAGCAAGCGCCAGGCCAAGTGACGGATGAGTGACCCAAGTCACGAGACTCCAGCCCAGCCTCATCTGGGTCCTCATTTGATCTCCATGACTTAAGACAAGGACATGCAATATGCTGTGTGCAAAAAGCACCTAGTGAATGAATAAGGTCCTTCTAAGTAGCTTCTGTATTATAACACAGCTCATAGGTTTATAACTAGATCCCAAGAGTTCTAGTCTGATTGTCGAAGTTTAATATCATTCAGGGATAGCAATCTAAGCCCCTCCTCTCTACCCTTACACCCTCCAATAAAGTGGATCAGATTCCTTACCCGCCTGGTTGGTTGTCACGGTGACGGACACCGATTGGTCCGGGCTCGGGTTATACTTGGACACTCCATTCACTGCCCAGATTTCAAAAGTGTAGTTGGTGTGAGCTAGGAGGTCAGTGATGGAGACCTTGGTGGTCTTCAGGCCATTCTGCTGTGGGGTGTAGTGGACCCCGCTTCCGCAGGGCCGGCACTTGCTGGGATCTCCAGCTCCACATTTCTTGCAAACCACATTGTAGGAAATGTCCTGGCGGCCTCCGGTGTTCTGAGGACTGCTCCACTCCAAGTTCACCGATGTCTCGTTGACGTTTGAAATCAAGTTGAGGGGAGCAGAGGGTGGGCCTGGAAAAAGAAAAGTGAAGACAATATTTTCACACACCAACAACTGGCACTAACCCCTTGGGATCTCTGAGCATTTGCTCCTCTCTGAAGCTTTGGGAGGGAAGGTCGAGCCACTGAGCAAAGGAAGCAAAAAGCAAAACAGGTATCAGAATGATCTCTTCAAAGGACCAGGAGCTAAAAGGTTGGAAAAGTGTGGTCCTCTCTGCTCAGCCAACAAATGGGATGGGATGATGCAAAATTTCCAGAAATGGGCCCCAAGCCCAGGCTTTCTCTCTGAAGTGACAGGAAAATATAACTTATCTAGTTTCCATGGTAGTATTTGGAAAAAGCAGGTACTTGAATGTGATTCCAGTTCCCAGGACTCTGGCAAATTAATAGTTATGCACCACTTTTAAAGATAAATGATGACTCCTAAGTGTACCGTGTCATCAATATGGAGGAAAATGAACTGAATTGTACAGCTACGCCTCTTCAGCTCAACATGGCAGTTGAGGGTTAAGTTGTTTGTGGGCAATTAATAGGAACTGGTTTAACCTGGTGGCGGGGAAGGAGGGTTGGGAGATCTTAACATTGAGCAGAGCTAGTGCAAAAGCTCCCCAGGCCCTCTTGTCTGCCCTTCAGCTGACCAAGGTTCATTGGCACTGATGTCTGAGCTTCTGAAACATACATGGTCGCGGTAGGGATGATGAAACAGAACAACTGATTGAGAACAACATAGTTGGTCTAAAAAGTAATATTAAGACCTAGTTATTAATAAGTGACATTATTAATAGCTATTAATAGTGACAATCATTATTAATAAGAGCCATAATGGACTCTCTTGCTTCCTGCTGCAGATGACCAGTCTTTATGAGCCAAGAAACTGTGACTGAAACTGCCACCCAGGAAAAGGCTCAGGGTGGGAGGAGAAGGAAGGAATTTTCCTGTTCTGAGTTGGTTCCAAAGGTTTAAAAAACATCTGGCAGTCTCTAATGGGAAGTATTTATTTACTCCTATGACAATGGGAAAGTTCTCTTTCCCTTCCTTTTCCCCCACTTTGCTTTACAATAAAAGAGACAAGTTGGGCCTCACTGGTGATGCAGGGGTTAAAGTCTCAGAACTGCCAAGCCAGTACCAGCCACTATGGCCTCAGTTTGATCCCTGGCCAGGTAGCTGACCCTCAAGGCACAGCAGACCTCTCCTATCTCTCCTGCTGCTCCCCTCAGCAGTGTGTTTCAATCAATCTGCCTGTTCTGCCCCCCACTCTGTCTCTGGTGAATCATTTCACCCCTACAACTCTGGCCTATACCCCAATTCTTGAATGCATAAATAGATTAAACAAAAACTAAACCTTAAAAATAGAGAAACCATTATAATAAAAATTTTGAGGTTTCTTGTTCACTGTATATTTTCTATATCTTTTTTTGTAATGATGACTCTGAAGGGAATTTGTTCATGATCCTCAGGAAAAGGAAGTTAACTAGAGGGCTGCATTCACTTGGGAGATGCCCTGTTCAGTCAACCAGAATGATGTACTGTTCCAAAGTTAAGAGAGACTTGGAAAAAGTAAGCCGCAAAGAAGGTGTCGTATTCAATGTTTATGACTTAGCTCCTGCAGTGAAAGACCAAAGGATCTTAGTGGTAACACTGAAACACTGGCTAAAAGTAATTCACTCTCCTTTTTCTTTTTATACAACTTAATTGAAGACTTTATTTTAATAAGGAAAGCAGGTCCTCCCAATCTCTCCCCAATCTCCCAACAACCTCTCTTAGCATTAAGATCTGCTCTTCATTGCACAAATTATAAAGGATGAACTGTGCTATAAAATATGCCTTGAAGATAAGATTACTTTCAAAACATCCTCAGAAAGGAAGCATCAAATTCGGTCCTGTCTAGATGTAACGTTTGTGTCCATAGTCCCTATCCCAGTGAGTAGATGACAAATGGGGTAAAATAAGTAGATTTTGAAAAAAAGTATTTCTTTACGATCACAGACTGCGGCTCTCCCTGGCAGGGCAATGGGTTAATGCACAGCTCTGCAAGCTAGCTGCAGGCACTTAAGTGCCAGTTTGATCTCTGCCCTGGAGGGGACCCACATGGCACAGCACACCTCTCCTGACAGGCCCTCTGCTCCCTTCAGCAGTGTACCTCATCAGTCAGCCCGTTCTGCCCCCCACTGTGTCTCTGGTGAAGCCTCTCACCCCTGCACCTCTGGCCTATACCCCAGTTCTGTATGCATATATAAGTAAATCTTTAAAAAAATAAAATCACAGACTTCTAGAGATAAGATGACATAGATCACTTAGTCAAGTATCCTCATTTTAAAGATGAGGAAATTGAGACCCACAATGTGTATCTGATAAAATTTCATGCAGGCCCTCCCTGGTGGCGCAGCGGGTTAAAGCACTGCACTACTAAGCTTAAACCACTTCCGCATGAGTTCGATTCCCGCCTGCCCCGGGGAAGTCCACATGGCGAGGCAGACCTCTCCTGATCCGCCCGCTGCTCCCCTCAGCAGTGTGCTTCATCGATCTGCCTGTTCTGCTCCCCACTCTGTCTCTGGTGAATCCTCTCACCCTCTGCATCTCTGGCCTGTACCCCAGTTCCAGATGACTAAATAAATAAAATCTTTAAAAAAAAAAAATTTCATGGAGCCAACTGGCAGATTCAGACTGAAATCCAAGACCACGGACTCCCCTCTGGAGTTATTGCCACTCCTGCATGAAAAGAGCAAAAGAGCAACAAATCAGTAGTTTCAAAGTTCAAGACAGAAAGACAGGAAAAGGGATTATGTCCTCAATCCTGCCTGAATTCTGTAAACTTCTGCCACTGTTACAAGTCTACAGCTAAAGCCTACTGACCACCACACTTGCTTATAATATGCTTTAGTCGCTGGTCATTTTGCTGTGACTCCAGGGTTAAATAAGAGTGAGTCTTAAATGCATTAACCTCCTTGCCAAAGTTTCTGGTCCATTTTCACATGGGAAAATGCAAGACAATGAATCAAGCACTTGCAGAGGCAAAAAGTCAGTAATTAGTATGTAGGACTGAGCATGGCAGTGTCTAAACAGAGAAGAAATGGAGCAGAAAACTAAATGGTCAGTGGACTCAGAGATGCAACAGTGCCATGTAAAAACAAAAGCAAAAATGCTGCAGAATTTCACAATGGAGGGTTAGCGTGAAAACACCGGGTGAGTCCTAAGAAGACCCGGGGGTAGACAAATGGGAAGATGGAGGACCAAGCCAAGTCCAAGTTCAGTGCTGCCTCCATCAGTGGTGGGATCAGTGGTGGGGAGGATTATACTGTCTTCTGCCCCTGAGCGCTGGTTCTATGGACAGTCCTAACAGCTTAGAAACTCGAACCTGATAAGAGTATTGGGATGGTGGATGAAGACAAGAAAATTATAGAGATGTCCACTCAGTGTGGGTGTAATGTTGTCCTGCAGAGGGGCCTGGGGAGTCACTGATGTCACATGGTGGAGGTATGGTGTTTGTGGAATTGTGAACTGGCTTCCTTTTTTTTGGGGGGGGGGGTTCACTCTTGCCAGTTAAAGGACAGTCTGGACTCCACTGTACCATCAAGCAATTACTTGTCAAGATGACTGAAAACAGCATCCTCTGTAACCTGAACTCTCTCCACAAATATGAGTCTGCAGGAATATTGGAACTCTTAGATGATCTTTTCTTCTGTTGGTAAATACGTTCCCTAGATAGTTAAGAACAATTCACTTTCTGACAGCGGTTGCCAATTTTATCAGATATATGTTTACCTGTAAGTCTCCAGCTACATAGGTGGGGCTTTCAACAAGGAACGATGACAATGTTGATGGCTTTAGCTTCTTGTCCCAAGACTGGCATCTATCTACCTCCTGGGAATACACCATCAGGTCCTTGTGGGCAGTAGCGTTTATGCTCTCTGCAAGTGTCCAGTGTTGGCCCCGGTGGAGGGCCAGCAGCCACCCTGGTTCCACATTCCTGGTTTTGGTTTCTATTCCTTTCTATGTTTGAACATGTGGTGGGGCCTTTCTCCTGAGATACACACTGCAAATCTGTTTGTGCCCTCAGTCTGTGTGCTCGTAGGGGACTAAGTCTTCCTTCCCCAGGGCCTTCCATGATTCCTACTTCAGACCAAGCTCAAAATTGCTCACTGAGGCCCTCCCTGGTGGCACAACAGTTTGGGGCACAGCACTGCAAAGCTGGCCATGGCCACTTCAGCATGAGTTCAATCCCTGGTTCTGGAGGTGACCCACGTGGCGCATCAGACCTCTCCTGGTCTGCCCACTGCTCCCCTCAGTAGTATACTTCATCGATTGTCTGTTTTGTTCCCTACTCTGTCTCTGGTGAATTCTCTCATTGACCCTGTACCTCTGTATGCATAAATAAATAAAATCTAAAAAAATCTGTTCAGTGAATCAATGACTGAATAGAATACTAATGAAGTTTTTAATACATCTCATGGCCAGCTACCAGCAGGACTTTAATTGTTTCATTAATATAAGATTATTTGAATTAATGTAAGATTTTGTGAGCTAAAGTTGTACTAGTAGTCAACTTCTGGCATACAGATTGTGTTAGCATTCATTCCATTCAAGTTTCTCTTTTCTGTAGTATAAAAATGCTTTGGAGGGGCCTCCCTGGAGGTGCAGATGCTGCCTCCAATCTAGCACCAGCCACCTTGGCAAAAGTTCCATCCCAGGCCAGGGAGCTGACCCCCATGGTACAACAGACCTCTCCTGTCTTTTCTGCTGCTCTCCTCAGCAAAATATTTCAGTAAATCTGCCTGTCCTACTCCCCACTTTGTCTCTGGTGAATCCTGTTACCCACCCCCACCCCCCGGCCAGCACCTCTGGCCCACACCCTAGTTCTTGTTTGCATAAATAAATAAAAATAAATCATGTTTTAAAATGCTTTAGAAAGAATAGGGAGTAGGGAGAACTACCTTCTATATATTGTGGGTCTTTTCTCTATTCAAATAATAATCGAGTGTCTTATATTTGCTACAAGTTCTAGGTAAGAACAG